AGGAAAACTTGAAATCGCATCATATGACCCCTTTAAATAAAAAGCTATTACAAAAACACTGCCCACTTAGCCTTAGCAAAAAAACGAAGAAAAATTGCACTTTCCCCACGGTCCCTTACCGAAAGCTGCGCGAAGAGCGAGCTCTCCCGGCTTAATGCGCATTGCGACGGCTTGTGCGGGGCAGTGCTTATTACATCAAGCTAAAATTATGAAAAAGAAGGCTGTGAAACATGATCAGCTTTGCCCTTTTGGCGGTCACATTGTTTAGATTTTTTTAGGGCAAGTCGTTTTGGAGTTATTGCCGTTTATCTCTGAATGTGTCACGAATATCGAAAAAACAAACTAACTTAACCCCGCTCAAAAAGCAGCATTCATGACGTGCCCCTAAATCGCGAGATGTCGAGGAAAACTTTGCAGCGTAAGCTACTTTAATGAGATATTACATTACATTGCCTATAATTTGCGTAAAACGTTGCACATTTATTGGTACTGAGAAAAGTAGCCCGTGTGAAACGCTTGAAACCTCCTGTTCACCCAAAAATGCCTAAGTCATCATTTATTCACCCTTGTGTTGTTCTAATGCTGTATGCCTTTCTTTCTTTTTCAGACCACAAATGGAGAAATTTAAAGAAATGTCCCGCTTGAGCGCATCCATAATGGCAGTGAATAGCGAGCGACCAAAAGACGCAAATGTATCACAGTTCCATCCTACACGTCAGTTTTCTGGGAGTAGGGCTATACGACAGGGTTTGGTGAAAACAAACCAAAACTTAATGTATTATTCAACAAAAATCCTGACATTTGATCGCTGGTTTCTGTGTACTTTTCTTATTAATCTTAATTGTGCATGTTGGGCGCGTAAAAGTATTGAGGCGAACTGGTCATCATTCCATAGCCTATAACAAAACAAAGAATTCATTAACTTACTGCGTCTGATCTGGTTTCAAAGTCTCTCGAAGCAACATGTCCGCTCTCTGACTGACCCATTCTTGTATTCTGATACATTTTCTTTTGACGTTGATTCGACACTTCTGTGCATTCCGAGGTAGGCGTGGATCCACAGAAGTTACGCTTCGTACTTCTAACATTACAGTACACCAACTGACTCTGACTTTTAATGTGGCAACAATCTCTTCTGGGAAAGCTGACGTGGACAGCAGACCCTTTCTGTAAACCCCCCTTTTAGTCACATGCACTCTCTGTAGGCGTATTGTAAAGAAATTGGCTTAGGACATAATTTAAGACAAAATCCATTACAGAAAAACATCTCCTAAGTGCTTCATTTTTTAATCTTAACTACAGAAATAAGAAACGGGTTTACAGAAGCACCTTGAACAATTCAAAAAAAAAAAAAAAAACTTAACTTTAGAATATAACTCTGGTGTCCTAACTCAAAACTCAGTAACAATCACATTATAGCCCTGTCGGAGATACATGTATTAATTAGAAAAACAGCGGTCTGTGATGGTGCAAAGACTGTTGAAAGTCCCAGAGGACGTGCAGCTTTGACTGCAGAACACTAAAAAGAATTAGGCTATTCGTATGTTCTACAGTAGTTCTGCAGAACTTGAATTAAAAAGTGTACGCCCCTCGGTTCCCGGACTTACATCTGAATCATCGCTATCACGTGTCAAGTATTTTTTTTCTAGGAACCATTAGGTCTTTTGTAGTTCGTATGTTGTTGGAAAACAAAAAGACTGAATTTTTAATCAGTGTAATGTTGATTTTGGGTAAATTCTTTATCCGTAAGTGTAAGTGTATGAAGACAAACCCTTACGTTTATTTATTATTTTTTCTCTGTATTTAAAAGGGATTTGTTTGTAGTTATTTTCCATAATTAAAATGTATGAATAGTAAACAGGCCTGCAAATTTGCTGGGATGTTAAGAGACTTTGGCTCATTGGAAGAGGAATGAAAAGACCCCTGTGCTATTCCCTTTTTCCACTGATGGATGGAACTTTAAAAGGTTTTAAAAGGTGAGCTCTTTATAAAGACGTAAAAGATGCACATTCTATATTAAAATGGTTTTGAATCTAAAAATATGAGTAGCGATTTTGACTAATGTGTTTATAATTATATACACTCACATGCAGGGCCGTGCACAGACCTTTTGAGGGGCATGTGCTGAAACTGAAAAAGGGCACCCAATGAATCAAAGAAGAATTTTCTTAGAAATATATTTTACCTAGCTGACAAGGAACACTCAGTCGCTTTGTGTCAAACTCAAATGCAGTTATGGCCGGGTTTTTGACCAGCGAATGTGTGTGCAAATGTGCAATTTATCCATCATTAAAACGGCAGCATCACATTACGTTCTGATCAACAGGTTACAAAGTTTGTTGTAGCTATATGGGCGCTCAGTTTTTCCTGTTGTAAAATACGTTTGGCCAAAATGTCATTTTATAAAAGATGAAATGCTACTGTATGCACAGGCTATTTAAGTGTAGGCTATTGGCTATGACTAATTTAGATGGCAAATGCCCTCTCTCCGCAGGTCCGGTCTCAGACCTCAAATGCATAAAACATGAGCCTTTATACAGTAGACATACTAGTGTTTCTTGCGTAAAGACAACGCTGTACTTATACAAACAAGAAGATATTTATTTACCCTTGCAAGACGTTCAGCTGCTCTGCTGTGGAACTTCAGTTCACTGCACTCAGTCAGTCAAGACAGGGGGTGGAGTTATGAGGTTTGACTGACAGTTTGAGCGGATCCAACAAGATTTAGTCACAAACTGTTTTTAATACCGTTCATTCGCTAAATATATTTGTAAAACAGACAGACAGACAGACAGACGTAAAGGGTGACCAATAGCATTGATTTATTGAATAAAAAATAAAAAAAAATTTAAAAAAAGGCACTTCGGAGTGTAAGGACAAAAAAGGGCAAGGTTGAGCCCTACCTGTGCATGTGCCTGCTCACATAGATGTTTTTTCACTGTAAAAAAAATTCCATAAAATTTACAGTAAAAAACGGCAGCTGTGGTTGCCGGAATTTTACCGTAAAAAATACGGTAGCAACGTTTTAGGTTTTATGGTTTTAACTTAAATTTACAGTTAAATACCGTAATTTCATTAACTGATATAA